GGTATGAATCAAAATATAAGATGAGTCTTGTACGCGCTCCATCTTCTCAAAAGCCGGCCTCGGTACCTGTCTACTGATGACCTGAGAATACAAGTTATATTGAAAGAGTTTATCAGCATTAAAGCTGGTGAGTTCATAAGTATTTAGTGTCTATGTTTGTATCAAAATGTTTGAAACAGTGTTTGAAGTACAAATTTGTAAACGTTTGTAGTAAAAGTATGAATATGTTTGTAAGTGTTTGTAAAATTCTGTAACTCCTAGGAAATCCTATATTTTCTACTAAAAGTAGCCTTCTACCAAGGCACAACTGTTTTGTATGTTTGTTTCTTGTGAAAGCGTGTAATTTTCCCAAGTGTAACTATCATTATCAAAATATAATTTGTACATTAATGTTTAAGTGAAGTAATCACCAATTAAATGTAAAGGGTAAATTAATATAGTATTGTAGTGTTGTATTATAGGAACTACTGTTGTACTAACTACCTTAAACCATATTTATATTAAGGTATCATGTGATTAATTGTACCATACTATCGACTATGAACAAAACAATGTAAGTCGTCAAAAGTAATGACATTTGGCACCCGAAGACCTGCAGGTCCCGCTGTAGCTAGCAGCAAGGTGTAGGATAGTCAATCCAATATAGATCTATACGCAAACTCACGCTCTCCCTCCAGGAGATTCTGGTTACAACTCGGGCCATGACAATGAAGGCATGTTCCGATACAGTGGATCATATTTATGTTATCGTATACTTGTATATGTAATGTATGTACTTGTGTAATGAATGTATTGTTTCTCGTCATAGTATAGTTGTATATGTTCTCATCATAGTATAGTTGTATAAGTTCTCATAGTAGTAAGTAATGACTCATGAATGAACTGACTCTTGTATGTTTCATTGAACTAGAAGTAGTAAGTAGTATAACCCTAAACTATACCTATTATAGTTTATTAGAAGACTTGTTTGTATGACCGAATGTACTGAACTGAGATAAAAGTCTTTATATCTATACATATATACATAATATATAAGTAAGGATTCAACGACACTCGGACAAACAACCAGGTACTTTAAGTCCACAACCAAACAAGGACAGGAAATAAAGTGGGTTATCTCTCCTAAGTCCTTCAAACCTTATTTATATAACTATATATGTAGTAGACATGGTTTTAACAATATATAAGTGGAAAACTGTAAAAGAAAGGTTTAGTATACAAAAGTGAATTTGATAAAGAGTTTGACATGTAAAATAGTTTGATAAACAGTTTGAAGTCATTTGTTTGGTAAAATAGTTTAAAGTATGAAAAATTCATTAGTATGCTAGTTATTAATCACATGTGATTGATCTAATAATTAACATGGTTCAACTTGTATCCCCCCCCCCCCCATAAAAGCATTTAAAACATTTAAAAACATTTCAAAGGTTAATTAAAGGGGTATGAACTCACCTGTAGTGAGTAGTTTGTACGGAAGTGTTGGACAAGGTGCTAGGTGTCAAGTGAGGACTTGAACACACACAATGATCCTAGTTAACATATAATAAACATATATGTATCTAATTAGACATTTAACCACTAATTAATCAAGTTAAGACACCCTAGGACATGGAAACACTTTGATTCAAGTGTTATAGGTACCAACGGGTTGCATCTAAGGGCTGTATGGCATGACATTGGAGTTTATGGCCCAAGGACCACTCCTTATGGAGTTTACGGCCCATGACCATTTCCCCATGAGTTTATGGCCGTAAACTCATGGTATTAAGTGCCAATTTGTGTTTTGAGGTCTTACAAGTCATGATTGAGCATCAATGATCAAGTCCAAGCCTTAGGAAAGCATTAGGGGCACAATAAGACTACTTTGTAGAGTTTACGGCCTAAGGACCACTTCCTTAGGTGTTTACGGCCATAAACTCTTATGGGGACTTGTTTTGATTGTTGTTTAAGGTCTTAAACACTTCTAGGAAGGATCAAGGTTGACATCCAAGGCTTGGGAAGGGACTAGGGTCCATTTAACCACCTTAAGAAGGGTTTACGGCCCAAGAACATCCTTGGCCGTAAACTCCTTTGTTCTTATGAATCTTGATGATTTTCAAGTGTTATCAAGTTCATATTAATCACACAAGAAGCTAGGTCAAGTGTACTTACAAGATAGAAGCTTGATTGGGTGTTTAAGGTCCAAGAACACTAGTGTGTGTTCTTGGTGTTTTGAAGAACACTTGAAGATCTAGTTGAAAAGCAAGAATGAATGGATAAAATTATGTATAACTACTATATGTTAGGTTATAACAACAAATCAAGTCGAGAAACACTTACGTTTTCGGAAGATCGGGTGAAGAACGGGATGATAGTTGAGAGAGAATGGGGAGTGTTCTTGAGGGTGGAAGTGAGAAATGAAAAGTTTGGGGAGTAAACTCATGCCTAAGGCATGAGTTCACGGCCACATGGGAGTTTACGGCCCAAACTCTAAAATTTTGGCCGTGAACTCCTTATTAGGGTGCTATATGTGGTTTTGCAACTCTAAGACCCGAGACGGTACTTCCTTTCATTCGTTCGTTTGAAGAATAAATACTAAAAACACTCAAACGGACTTTAAATTGGCTAACAATTATCAGAAATGTAATTGACTTTTAATTGAAGTACTTGACTTTAGAGTTTGTACAAATGAAAAATTTCGGGTTGTCACATATGAGTCCTTGGTCAAGGATGTTTTTCTAATTATTAAATGGATGTTTGTTTTTTGTGATAGTCGGTGTTTTTTGTGAGTCAGCAGTCGTGGATTTCAGTGCAGTTTGACATTGTGCGGTGAGTTCTCCTCACTATGCTAACAGGGTCTAAGGCACTAAGGTCGTACTTTTTGATTGTGTTCCGGTTTATCGTATGATGCTAGGTGTAGTGATATGTTAGATCTGTATCCTAGTATATAAGATGATGCTATGATTGAGGATCTATTAGGCATGTGTGATTATTTATATATGCTAGCTAGCGTTTGATATGATATGTGATGTTGTTTGATGGTGGGTGGGTTGAGGCGGTCCTGCTTTGTGTTGAAGGCTAACAAACCCAGGGCGTCCCGGATAGACTAAAGGCCTAGCGAGGCGTACCAATCAAGCCGAAAGCCCAGCGAACATTCTAGATAGGTTGAAGGCCTGGTGAGGCGTACCAGTCATGCTGAAGGTTCTGTGGGTGTACCAGATAGACTGTAGGCCGGTGGGGCATTCCAGTCATGTTGGAGGCCTGTATGCATGTTGTATGCATGCTGTCATTTGTATATGTTATCTAGATTGGTGTTGGTAATTTGGGGAAACTCACTAAGCTTCGAGATTATAGTTGTGGATTTTGTTTCAGGTACTTCAGATGATCGCGGAAAGGCGAAGGCTTGATTGTGCACCTCCTCACATTTTATGTTATGATTTCTAGGACTTCTCTGATGTTAAACTATTTTGAAAATAATTTGTAATAAATGGTGGTTTCTGGATATTAGGAAAGTTTAAATTTTTATGAATTATACGGATGTTACATTTACAACTTAAAAAATTTGTCTTTCTGAGTTTTTGGAATCCTTGTAAATGATACCATTATTCTTCATTTTTAGAAAAATTATTTGATATCAAGATCGATGGTACAAAAATCGACAAAGTTAGAAAATATTTACTTTAGAAGTGGTAGATTCAATCTATTGGCTTCTTCTTGAGCAACCTTACCAGAATGTCGAACAGTTCATGAGTTTTTCGGGGAACAAAAATCTCACCCATTTTTCTTGTCCTATCGGTTCAAAACCCCTACTTTTCCTACAAATATCCCTCAAAATTTCACCCATTATTCTTTCTCTCACACTCTCCCCCTCTCTCTAACGATAACGATCTAGAAAGAAAATGGGTTTTAATCTATGCACGAACAGTATCGACCAGCTTTCTGACAAGAAACTAATAGACATGGTTTTGATCTGCATGGAGAAACTAGAAAAAATGAGTAACAAAGTTAATGTTTTTGGAAGTGTAAGTGAGGAGAAATAAGGAAAGTAAATCAATCTTATTAACTATTCTCCCTAAATCCTTAATCAATCTTCTTTTATATATGTATTTTATATAAGAAGATAAAGATAAAGACATGGGATACAAATGGTTGATGCAATGTATATGGGCTAAGTTATATTAGAGAATAAACTTTAGTTGATATATATGGTTGTGTAAGAATGCTAACAACTTGTTTACATATAAATATGGCTTGATAAATGTGGTTGTGGTTGATAAGGAAAGAGAGTGATTATGGGACCTATTTTTTTAATGATAATACTAAAAAAGAAACATGAAAGGGAAAGATAGTCTTTTAATGTTTGGTAGGGACTGAATTTGAAAAAAAAAATAAAAAATAAAAAACTATAGGATGGTCTAAGTTAAAAAAAAAAAAAGAATAATGGACCAAACACGTAGACTGCCAAAATCAAAGAGACCATTCATGTAATTTATCATATATATATATATATATATATATATATATATATATATATATATATATATATATATATATATATATATATATATATATTAGACAAAATTGCAAAAATGGTCCCTGTGGTATGCGTTTTTTTGGGGTTTTAGTCCAAACCACGACTTTTTTGGATTGGTAATCCTTTTGACCTAGTTTGACTGTGGTTTTGGTCCCTCGAAAAACTGAAAAAACTAAAATGCCCTTTTTCTATAGTTTTTTCTATTTAATTTAATGTTTTATGATTAATAAACATTAGGCCCATCTCTCTCTCTCTCTCTCTCTCTCTCTCTCTCTCTCTTCTGATCGTCTTCTTCCTTAAGAACAAATCTTAAAATCTGGAGTGTGTGTTGTTTAAGAAAAAAAACCAAGAAAATAAGGAGGAACAAAAACTGAAAGTGTGGAGGGCTTGAGATAAACAGACCCAAGATGGTTTTTTGATCCATAAATGGACGTGGCTTCAGATCTGGAAACGGAAAGGGAAAAGCTTATGATGGTTTTCAGATTCAATGATGGAGAAGGAAAGGTTTCTGATAACAAAGGAGATGGAGAGTGTGTGCAATAAAAGGGTGGCGCCAGTTGTTGTTTCCGGTGGACCTAAAAACAGAAACACCATCGCATATGATCTGGCAAGTTCATCACTTCTCACCTTTGTTTTACTTCATCTGGTTGTTTCTTGGCTTCTTGCCATGGATTTGAAGTTCAGTTACTTTCATGAGTTTTTCTTCTGTTCTTAAATGTTCAAGTCCCGTTCTGATTTATGTGTTGCAAGGTAGATTAACGACTAACAAACACATGTATTCATCAGATCTGATTTCATGTGCGTGTTCATCAGATTTCGTGTGTGTGTGTTTTCATTTGATTTCTTGTATGTGTGTATTAATGATTTTATTTGTGTGTGTGTTCATCTGATATGATTTTTGTGTATGTATGTTCATCATATATAATTTCATGTGTGTGTTTGTTCATCAAATAGGGGTGAACTCAAGAAAAAACCCTGATTTTGTGTATGATTTTTGTTTCTGAGATGGTTTTTGGCTGAGTTGAAGTGGTAGAAAAAATTTAGGTGGAGATAGAGGTGGCAGACGATGGTGGCGCCGGACTGTGGTAGTGGAGGACGGTGGTCAAATGGTAGTGGTGGTGGAAGATGTTCTTGAGTGTTCTTTGAATCTATAAACATGTTCTTAGGTGTTTATCAAACACAAACCTAGAGAGAGAGGTTCGGTCCAATGTTTATTAAATAAAACATTAAATTAAATAGAAAAAATATAAAAATATATATAAGAAGGACATTTTAGTCTTTTTAGTTTTTCGAGAGACCAAAACCACAGTCAAACTAGGCCATAAGGACTACCAATCCAAAAAAAGTCATGGTTTTGACTAAAACCCAAAAAAATACACACCACTGGGACCATTTTTGCAATTTTCTCTATATATTATAAACTATAATAGAGTAAAGAGTTATTGTCATGAAAAACTCATAAAGTTTGACTTTAGGGTTTAAATGGTAACTGAATTAAATTTTTTCTTTTTAGACCAGTAAAGTGGGAAATGACTTATACAAACAATTTAAAATATTAAATTTTCGTGGCAGACATAATAGGTGATCATGTCGATTGTAATGGGTAGGACTCACCGAAGGGCATATTAGTGCTAATACATAAGATAAGAGACGGGAGGGATAATGGGGTGCAGTGGGTGTGTGGATAATGTCTTAATAATAATATGATAACTATACAAAAAAAAATGATAAGGGACATATTGTCATTTTAACTTGGCATGTGACCAAACTCAAAACAAAACCAAACCAAAGGATCCGTCCAAATTAAAATAAAAAAAAATTAAAAAAAAAACGATAAAGATCAAACGTACAAATTACTAAACTATAGGGACCATTCTTCTAATTTGCTTTTCGCCAATAAAAAAGAAAAAACATCTTTTTTTTCGTTGTTAAATGAAATTAATATAATATTTTTTAAGTATTAGACCAACTAAAAGCATCTCCAATGGGGACTTATTTTAGAGTTTTTTTTATTGATTTATCATTTATTTTCATTTAAAGTATTGTTTTTTTGTGTATTTATATTGACCATTCATTATATAGTATAAACCCTTAAGCATCTAACCCCTTCTATTTTTAACATATTTTATTTTTACCCCCTTAATTATATTGTAGTTTTAAATGTTTTTCATTTATTTAACTATTTAATTATTTTTATCATAGTTTTTCATTTATTAAATGTTTATATACTAATTTTTAGTGATAATCTTAATTTAAAATATTTTCTATTCAATTATAATATGTTTAAAAACTATTAATTAAATGAGGAGGTTGTATTAACATTTTAGATAGATAAAGATCAAAGTTAAATTTATAAAAAAAATAAAATAAATAAAATAAAAAAGCTATGAAAAAAGCTTAATCATTGGAGAATCCATTTAATCAGAGGTTAAAAGTATTAGATTAATGATGTGCCAAAAATATTGAGAAACGGAGATGCTCTAATAATCATTAGCAACAAATAAGATTATTTTGAAACTTTTAACAGACTCTCTTTTCTTTCTTGGAAAGTGATGCGCCAAAACTAGAGGAATGTATGTCGTGTAAATGAAAAATATCACTTCTTCAAGGGTGTAAACTAATATTATGCTTCAATAAAGCAATCAGTGGGACTGTTGATATATTGGGCTTCTTCATCACAATTCGAACTACCTGTTCACAAACACACTTTACAAAACAACAGGCATTAGCACAAGCGCATATGGGCAGAGCGAGGTACGTTTTTGTTGAAAGTTTTTCTCTTTGTTAAAGAATCACTTGTCTTAGTTGTTTTTTTGTTGTGAATCTATCGATCCTTGACGAAAGTATATATCTGGAAAAAAAATGTTTTCTTTGCTACTCGTTGTGGATTGTTTGTGAATGCTCTACGGATAAATTCAACTAAATGTTTAAATGGATAATTATGCCTCCTCAATTTCCTTCTTTGATTATTGAACAATGTTTTAGAGGAATGGTTTTCTTAGGACGGATGCTTCTATGTAGATATCAGTTCTAGCCCTAATAAATCCCCTATTTCGAGGCACGCTATTTCTTCCTCATCTTTCTCAATTTTACACGATGGTGAAGAGCTACTAAAATTAACAATCTATTCCCGCTTTCAGTCGATCTAAAGAAAACAAAAGTGAAGTTGACAAGGGAAGACAAACATCATATTAACTATGAATTTACATACACATTAATTTACCAACTAAACATGTTATGTGTCTTAAATCCTGAAGGCAATTTCTGTAATGTTAATTATCTATGGATTATACATGATATTTGAAAAAAGAGAGTTCTGCAAATTAATATTGAAAATATCCATGGATATTGTATACTAAGTAACAACTTTTAACAATTTCATCGCTTTTTTATATGTGTTACATGGCTTGGTTTGCAGGTCTATGTAAAAGCTAGAATATTGAAAGATGGAGTATGTATTTGCAATCATTAGTCCTATTGTTGAATCATTAATGGTTCCTGTCAAAAAACAGTTAGGTTATCTCTTTTCCTCCACAAAACATGTTAGGAGCATGAATATTGAAAGATGGGGTTTGTATATGTAATCATTAGTCCTATTGTTGAATCATTAATGGTTCCTGTTAAAAAACAGCTAGATTATCTCTTTTCCACCACAAAACATGTTAGGAGCATGAATATTGAAAGATGAAGTTTGTATCTGCAATCATTAGTCCTATTGTTGAATCATTAATGGTTCCTGTAAAAAAAACAGCAAGATTATCTCTTTTCCTCCATAAAACATGTTAGGAGCATGAATATTGAAAGATGGACTTTGTATCTGCAATCATTAGTCCTATTGCTGAATCATTAATGATTCCTGTCAAAAACAGCTACATTATCTCTTTTCCTCCACAAAACATGTTAGGAACATGAATACTAGAATAAAGCAATCGGCTTGTACAAGTCGTGAAGTCAAAAATCACATGGAAACAAACAACATAACTAATCTAGAGATACGTGGTCGTGCTCGTGTAACAGGGTGGTTAAAAGATGTGGAAAAGATTAAGGAAGATGCTCAAATCATTTCAAGTACAGGGAATAATCATTTCAAGTACACGGAATGGATGTTTTAACTTGAAAATGAGGTATCGAGCAGGAAGGAATGCATTCAAAATTACAGAGGAGATGGGAAGTCTTATTGAAAAAAATAGTAAGATAATTTGGCGTGATGCTCAAAAACCTCTTAGAAAGGTGATACCTAACATTATTTCAAATCGAGAGAGAAAAGTTTTAAGGATGCACTCAAGTTCCTTCAACAAGATCACACGAGCCAAGTGATAGCCCTATGTGGAATGGGAGGTATATGGAAAACCACAATGATGGAACAATTTAAAAAGGTTGCAAAAGATAAGAAAATGTTTGATTGGATTGTGAAGGTGGTCATTGGACAAAAGATTAACATGTTATTTATTCAGCAAGCTTTAGCAGAATACATGGGATAAGCTATAGATGGTTTTATGTCCCTTGCAGTTAAACTTATTGAGATAAGCTATACCTATTTAATAGAAGAAGAGGAGAAAAGGATTTTTCTGCTTTGTGGTTTGTTTCCTGATGACTTTCATATTCCAATTGAGGAACTCACAAGAGACTTATATCCATACGTAAGTCTATCTCCATACATAAGCAAGCAAAGATTATGCATTTTAACACACTCAATGTAATTGCTATCGATCAACAAATTTACATTTTTAAGATCATGTTTTTGTCCTGTCTCTCGCATCTCCCACAGCAGATACATCATTTAACAATTGTAGGGCCTACGATTATTAAATGATGATTCTGATGTGGGAGATACGAGAGACATGACAAAAACATGTGTGTAGAATCTTAAAAATAAAAATTTGTTGATCGATAGCAATTACATTGGGTGTGTTAAAATGCATGATCTTTGCTAGCTTTTGTGTTTGCTAGAGTTACTAATGGTGACTTTTCATCGATAATCAACCATGGTGATATTTCAAATTGGAGTAGAGCTGAAATGAGAGTCTTACCAAACAATTTATATTACTTGCACAGGTATGTCTGAGTTTCCTAGTGACTCTAAGTACCCAAACCTATCACTTTTGAGATTTATGTATGGAGATAAGTCTCTTAGGTTTACCGAAGAGTTTTATGAAAAAATGGAGAATCTTGAAGTTTTAGCATATGAAAAATGTCACACCCCGAAACCGATGGCGGAAACGTTTCGGGGCGGCGACGTCATACGTAGTATCACAACAATCATGTCATAGCAAGCATAGTAAACACAACCATTACATTACGATATGAATATTTACATCAGTTGAAAACAAAGTAGGTACATAGTATTATATAACAAAAGATAAAGACGATACTCCAAATATGCTCCGTCTTCTCCAAAAGTTGACTAGGTACCTATCTATCGTTGCCTTGAGAATACAATCGGTTTTGAAAACATATCAACATAAAGTTGGTGAGTTCATAAGCATGTTTTTGTATTGAAAACTAGTCACTGAATTTCTATAAATGTTCCCTTTCATTTATAAGTAAATATCGTTTGTATCGAAAATCGTTGTTACCAAGTTCTGAAATACGTATGCATGCTTACCAAGAAAATCCAATATTTTCTAACATGTTTGTTGATTTCTGAATGAAAGGTACGTTTTGTCAGAAAACCCTGGCTACCACCGGTATGTAATGTATAATCGTTTGGAAAAACCCTGATTACCACCAGTATGTATAGTAGTTTTATTACTTAAAATAAAACTATAGATTTTGTCCCTGGAATACCCTCCAGAAAGTAGAGAAGTAGTTTTATTAGTTAAAATAAAACTATAGAAGAAAGAAATCTCGTAATGATGATTAGTTTATACTTATTGTGAGTCGTATAACTATACTAATATGACTGATGACCTCCTTGACGTTCTTCAGGCGTCGCATGATTCCAAAATTTATCACCCCAGGCGTGCCCGCCTAACTGCAGCTAACAGTTCAGGTGTGGGATTGTCGATCCCGAATAGATCTATTCACAAATTTCATGCTCTCCCTCCAGGAGACTCTGGTTAAACTACCGGTGAGGATTTATTGGTACCCCGATGAGCAAAACGAAGATGGTCTCACAATCATGTATTAACTAGTTTACGTGTTTGTTCGGTTATCCTCGAGTTTGAATTCGTTTGTAACGGTATAGAGTATAATAATTATACATAAAATAATTATTTAGCATGATACTCTAGTTTTGTATTCGTGGTAATGGATAAACTAAATCTCATATAGTTTATATGTTTGACTCTGCATGATGTTTAAACATGTGAGACTGATAATGAAATCCCAAACTATACCTATTATAGTTTGAATGGTTGTTACGTTCGGGTATGGTTTTGAAAACCATGCAATTATGAATTGAAAACATCCCATATGCTCCGCATAATACAAGAGGGATAATTGTATCTAAACATTTGATAGAAAATCATTGTAATTGCATCAGTTTTTAAATTATGAAAACCTTTATGTTTAGCTTGTATCCCCCCTGAAAACATGAAAAACTCGGAAAAGTGTAGGGGTATGAACTCACAGTTTAATGTAGGATTCGATGTTGCGATTAGTTATAAGCGTCGAGTGTTAACCGGTGTTTTGCACGCGTATAGAACCTAAGAACATATATTGCACATATATGTATCAAATTGAGTATCCCATGATACATCATGATGGAAAACCACCCAAAAGGCTTGGAACTACTAGAACTAAGTGTTCTATGTCTCATACTTAGGGATCTTTACAAGTTTAAAGCCAAATATGAGCATTAAGGTGGGTGTATGGCCATAAAAATGAGTGTGCGGCTAAGGAGTGCGGTCAAGCTGTGTGTGCGGCTGCACACAGGAGTGTGCGGCCGTACAGAGGGTGTGTGCGGCCGTACACAGGAGTGTGCGGCCGTACACTCCTCATTTGAGTCCAAAACGTCGATTTTGAAGTGTTTTCTCCTCACTTTGGAGAGTTTTGAATGTGTGCGGCCACCTTATGAAGGTGTGCGGCCGTACACCTTCAAAGGACGAAGGACACGAAGAACACTATGAGTTTTAGGCTTAACTTCAAGTGTCTTACCACTATAACAAGTTGGATGATGAAGTAGTTCCCGTTTTTGAGTCCTTAATGATGTTCTTGGATGAAATTTTTAGAGAGGGAAAGTAGAGAGAGAAAGTGGAGAGCAGCCAAAGGAGGAAAGAATGAATGAAGGGGGTCCTCCTCTATATATAGAGGGAAGTGTGAGGCTGGGGATGGGTGTGCAGCTGGCTGGCCGCACACTCGGGTGTGCGGCCGCACACACCTTCCTCGGTGTGTTTGGCCCGATTTTTCGATGTTACTCACTTTCTAAACCTTCTTATGACTCATATCTAGGATATACTAAGCCCAAAGCACTCATATGAACTCAAAATTTCTCTATAAGATGGTAAATTCGAGTGAAATATTGATATACGGATCGATTGTACATGATAAAAGTTTCGGGTTGTCACAAAAAATTTCTCAGTTTTGCTCATTGTGGCGTCAGGAAGTTACCATCCACAATCGGAAAATTGAAGGAGCTATAGATTCTATGTTTGGATAGTCTACCAAAGTTAGCCAGTCTTTGCAACACTGCTAATGTAATTGAGCTACCAAAGCTGGTGGAGTTGATACTTGATGGTCTTCCTGATTTCAGTAGCATTTATCCTGAGAAAACATCTGTAACATCTTCTATGTCCAATAATATCTCTGCAATTCAACCTATCTTTAACAATGAGGTACCTCTATACTAGGATTGTCATTGTAATGACAGTTTGTATTTCCCTATTGATGCTTAACATGTCTTAATTATTGTGTAGATGCTGATTCCAAATTTGAAGATATTGTTAATTGTGAGGATGAATAAGCTGAAAGAGATATGGCCTTATCAATTTAGTAGGAGTGACGAAGTTGATACTTGCATTTTTAGAAAGATTGAAGTGAAGAAACATAATAATCTTGTGAATCTGTTTCCAATCAATCACATGTATTTTTTGGGTCGTCTGGAAGAGCTTCATGTTAGTTATTGTGGAAGCTTTGAAATGTTATTTAACATCGAGATGAGTTGTGTTGGTGAAATTGAAAAACACAGTAGCAACTTGAGATGCATTCATGTATATAAGTTGGGGAAGAGAGAGTTGTGGAGGATGAAAGGTGTAAGTAGCTATGATATCCTCATCTGAATGTGATGTCATTGAAATTTCAATTCCTATTTCTATTTTGATGTTAGAGAATTTCTGTATATGTGTCTGTGTATGTAAATATGTGTGAGTGTGTATACATATGGACATATACATATATACGTATCACGCTACAAGAAATAAATAAACTCTACACAATTCTTTGGATGTATTCACACTTAAAAGTGTATAAGATTATTAACTTGCATGAAGAAATGTGTCCTGACAAATTAATTCTAAATTTTTACACTTTAATATATGATAAAAAAAAAAAGTTAAAACTCCAAATTAAAAAACGTGGACAAATTACCTTAAATCACTAGACTTTTAAGGTTGGAAAAGTAGGCTTAGATTTCCCACATTGCTACGTGTGGAACTCTTTTAATCATCATATTATTATTTTTACATATTTATAAGCAGGTTGTTTTTGTTTTTTTAAAAATAGTAACTTCAATTACTATTATATATTATTAAGATTAGCGACCACGTTTCCATTAAATACAAGGATTCTACATATTTGATCTATTGATCAAATGAGTGATCACTCAAAATTATTTATGCATCGTAAAAAAGAAAAACCAAATTACAAATTTGTGTTTTGTGTTTTGTGTTTACATTGTTTCGAAAAATTTATTTGCAGTTTTAGTATTTAACTCATGTTTTCTTAGCATTTTTAGTCCTTACGTCAAATTTAACATCTTACATTGACCCCCACTTGTCCTACAACTTTTTCACTTAAGTTTCAGATTTCACTCATCTCAAAAAGTATATCTTTTGGAAACAAATTTTCTGGTTTTCGATTGAGACACCATGTTGTATGCATTGTGTTTTTCTACTTTGCAGGGTGTTGGTTTTATTAACAGTGCAAAATATAAAATTTCTATCATGCAAAAAGGGTTTAGTAAGGACTGCTAATAGCAAAAACTGATAGGGGACGTGAGGAAGATTGGGAAATGGGAAAGAGGTGGAAGGTGGCGGGACCTACGGATAGTTATAAAGATGATTAATAATACAAAATATAAAAAGGCAAATTAGTCATTTAATAAGGCTCGAGAAACATAAATTAACGGTGTGAGTAATAAACCATAAAACAGGGACTAAAATTTAAATACGTTTATGGATCTAAACAAAAAAAAATGGATGAACACATAAACACATGGACCAACCTTGTAATAAGAAAAAAAAAAGATTGAAAAATACAAAGAAATGTAAATAAGAAGACTTAATTGTTTTTTGCAGCCTCCTACTTATGTGGATCCCCTTAACATAACTGCAATGGCATGCCCTGCTCATCCTCTTTGTCCTCTTGCAATCACTGAAGCTGAACGAGGAATTCCTGACCTTCTTAAACGGGTTCGAGCTGTATTTGAGAAGGTATTTATTGAATTAGTTTCATTATTTCTCTAAATAGAAATCAACTTTCATTATTATTTATCTCCACCTAAATATCTCAAACTTCTCGTACAACTCTCAAAATTGTACTTTTTGTTGACATGCCATGTCATCAATAAATACAAAATTTTATAACAACGGAACAAAAAGATAATACAAACTTTGTTTAAATTTTCATGTGATTTTTATCAAGAAGTGAGTATGAAATTGTGATGTCAGGTTGGTCTTCCATATAATGAATCAATAGTAGTAAGAGTTACTGGTTGCCCTAATGGTTGTGCTCGACCCTACATGGCTGAACTTGGATTAGTTGGTGATGGTCCTAATAGCTATCCGGAACTTTTCACTTTTTTTTTGTTACACAATACAAAACAAAACAAAACAAAACAAAACAGGTTGTACTACATCTAACATAACTGAGAGGTGCGACTGATGCCAATGAGACAAAAGCTACAAGTTTTTGTCCTACCCAAGACAAAGTCTGACGTCAATGATAAAAAAAGTAGCAATTTTTTGTCAGGTGTGGAGGTGTGGACAGGGGTTCACTTTTGATCATGTGTGCAAAAGACGTAAGTGCCCTTTATGTCCTCATCATGGAAAATAACCCTAAAATGTTTGATTAGTCTTGCCTTGTGTAAAAATGCAATATTATGCTATGTTTGGTATACTAGCTGAAAAGCTAGCAGTTAACTGAAAAACTAACCGGTAAAAATGGTGTTTGGTAAAACTAGCTGAAAAGCTAGTTGAAAGATATAAAATGACATAAAAGGATATTTAAAAGGATGTGTTTCTATAATTAATTATAGGGTGTATTTGGAAAATTTTAAAAAGCTAGCTTATAAGCTACTTTTTTGGCTTGCCAAACATGACAACTTAAAAAAACTCTAAAAATAAGGTAGCTTATCAGCTAGCTATGGCGTGTCAAACACAACCTTAGTGTTTTAGTTTTTATACTAGTTTCTTGGAGTTTTGATTATTTCTTTTGTGATAAACTATTAGATATTTAAAAGAAAATGACATCAGTTTTTTTTTTTTTTTTGCTATGGCTTGGGGGAACACCATGTCAAACTGCATTAGCCAGAACTTTCATGAACAAGGTTAAGATCCAGGACCTTGAGAAAGTCTTTGAACCCTTATTCCATAGCTGGAAATCCAAGAGGAAATCTAAAGAATCATTTAGCGACTTCACAAATTGTGTCGTAAGATTCATATCTCTTTTCCTATTAAAAGACCAAAATACCCTTGTTATATATTGAAATAAGTAAAAACAATAAGTTCAGTTATATAAATTTATGATAAATAAATAAATATTTGAATAAAACTAAAATTAAAAAAATAATTTAGCTTTTATTATTGAATAACAATTTAGGGATTTGAGAAACTTCAAGAAATAGTGGACAAATGGGAAGGTATACCAAAATCATCATCATGATACTACTTAAAGCTTTTCATTGATAAGGAAACATTTGAAGCTGTGGATGCACTTGCAAGAATTGAGAACAAGAGTGCTCATCAATTGGCAATAGAAGTCTGTAACGCCCCGATTCTCAGAAAGAAGGTTTTTGGAAAGGAAGAGCTTGGAGGGCAAGAGACTAGGAGCAAGGAAGGTGTGGGAATAAGAAATCTACCTCAGTTAGCATCATTTGGAGGTGGTGGAGTTTTTGGTAGTGATCCGAGAGTTGGAGTTCATCAACCGAGTCGACATCTACAAGGTGAGTTATCCTCACTATATCAAAAGGGTCTAAGGCACCAAGGCCGACCCTTTAGTTGTTATGGTTATGATATGATATATGTGATTATGATCTGATAGATCGGAATCAAGATAGACAGTGTGTTATGTTTTTATGATCCTTATGGATTGGTATGTTAGTGGCCTGCTGGGCATGTGCTCTAGTTATGAAAGATTGCTATGATTGATGATCCGTAAGATAGATATATTTGATGTCTGTATATGCCAGTATATGTTAGTTATGCGAACTTGATTATTTGCTTGTTGGTTAGGTTGAGGTTGTCCTGCTTTGTGCTGAAGGCCAACATACCCTATGAGCGGTCCGGGGAGACTGTAGGCCCACGTGGCGGTCCAGTCATGCTGAACGCTCGGTATAGATTCAGTTAGACTGTAGGCCCTGTAGGGCGGTCCAGTCAGGCCGATGGCCCAGTATGCATGTTGATTGATTGATTATTGCTGATATGGCATTATCAGTGCGATATTGGTATTTTGGGGGTAGTTCACTAAGCCCTCGGACTTACAGTTTTCAGTTATTGTTTCAGGTACTTCAGGAGATCATGGCAAGCGAAGGCGTGACCGTACCGCTCCTCATCCTTATGATCAGGCTTTTGGGACACTCTGATTGAATAATGATTTGAAAACATTTTCTGTAAACAATACCATTGGGTTTTATTTATGATTGAAAAAGTTTTAATTTGGCGTAAAATTTATGGATGTTACAAGTTGGTATCAGAGCCTCGGTTTGAGTGAATTGGAGGAACACTCATGTGAATCCAGTCTCAAATCAAGGGAATGGTCAGAAAATAATTGTTTTTTAAAAATATTTTTCAAAATAAAGGATGGAGGATGCAGAGGGTATGATTAGTCGGAGCCGTAAGTAAACCCCAAATTACCATATAGTTATTTGATATTATGATATGTTAGAAGAGCATGCTAGTGCTAGGCTAGGGATCTTCAGGAATCACATGATAGACTTGCCTGATTATATGATGCCTACTGGCCTAGGGTTTCTTGTATATGGAGTTGACATCATTACTGTAGTTGTTAATGTAGGAATCACGGTTGTGCATAATCAAGATCGTATAGCCTGAGAATTTTGGATTCAGTCTTCGGATAGGATTGGATATTCGAAAGTCTATTGGGTCCAGTGTTATGTGCGACTAGCATGCACTAGCACTACATGGGTTGATGGAAGTTTCATGGATGTGTGAGTTGTAGGATCAGTGAGGTCAGTTGCGAGATAGGCAATGCTCCCCTAGGAGCGAGGGTTGAGTGCATATTATGTCGATGATAGTGTTAGGGTGTTGTGGTGATACTTGAGACAAATATGGGTAGGTGTGGAAGGTAGTATGGGCCCATACCACTAAAAGCACAGGACCCACACGCGTAACAAGGAAGTCACAACCCCTAGGATTTGTGGGTTTCGGTCTCTAGATATTATGTTGTTTATCTGATGTCTTAAGTGTATCTTTCAGTATGGTGGTAACGAGACGTTTTGCTACTGGGTCCAGATCAGGATTGGGATCCGGATCAGGGTCAGGAGTAGGAGACAGAGGGTCGGAGGTGCCGGTAGCACATGAGCCCGTGGTTCAGATAGGGACAGAGGAGTTGGATGCCAAGATCCGGGAGATTCTGCATGATGAGGTCGCTGCGGCCTTCCGAGCACAGTTGTCGGAGATGTTTGGGTCGATTAAGACCGCGATGGTCGAATATTTTGATGAGTGATATACAACTCTAGCAGAGACAGCAGCCACTGCAGCCACACCAGCTGTAACCGCGGCAGGGATTGGAGGAGGAGCCGGTCGGGCTTTCCAGTATCGGGACTTCGATAACACGAAGCCCCCGAAAATTGATGGTACACAGGATGCGATCAGGGCTATGAGGTGGTTGTCTGACCTGGAGGGTTGTTTCTTTACGTGTTCATGTCCTACTGACCATAAGGTCAGGTGTGCCCTGAACCTGCTGAGGCTTGGGGCAAAGGATTGGTGGAGATTAACGACAAGGTTGTACACTGATGACCAGCGAGCTACTGTTACTTGGGAGCAGTTCCGGGATATGTTCTGCACCTGCTACGTTCCACGTGTTGAGCGGGAGCGGCTGGCTCAGGAGTTTTTGACTTTAAGACAGGATGGGGAGTCTGTGATGGAGATTACTCGTATGTTCACGGAGAGGGCAATGTTCTTCCCGGAGTTTGCTTCAGAGCAGTCTCAGATGACTCGTTATCTGAGTATGCTCAAGACGGATATTCGACAGTTTGTGGCTACACAGCGTTGTGATACCCTCGTGGATCTTCAGGAATCCGCGAGGCGGTGTGAGTTAGAGATTGAGCTGCAGTTGAGGGAGCAACGTCAGGTTCCAGCACAGTCTCAGCTGGCACCTAAGCGGTCTAAGACCGCTGATAATCGGACCGGGGGTCAGCAGAGCCGCGCTTGTGGAAAGTGTGGTCAGGGTCATTCTGGGGTTTGTCGAGCGGGAGGTGGTTGCCACAAATATGGCAAGGAGGGGCACTATGCCAAGGACTGTTGCCAGTCCGCCCCTCCAGCAGATATGAGGATTTGTTTCCATTGTCATCAGGTTGGTCACGTGAAGACCAACTGTCCGCAGCTTGCCGCCAAGCCAACGCAGGGTTCCACACCGACTATTTTGAGGATTGGGGATGGGAGGCCAGTTAAGGTGGAGCCTCCGAAGGCTCAGGGGCGCACCTTCTAGCTTACGGCCGAGGAGGCCAAGGCAGCACCGGATATGGTTGCCGGTACGTTTTTAGTAAATTCTTTGCCTGCTTTGGTATTATTCGACTCAGGGGGCGAGTCGTTCGTTTGTATCTCAGGCTTTCAGTAGAGGGTTCAGTGTGTCGGTGGATGAGCTTGAGTGTCTGTTGCGAGTGTTGATCCCTAACAAGCACGGGGTTTCTGCTTCTTCAGTCTACCGAGGATGCGAGTTGGAGATTTTCGGGGTATCCTTCCCGATAGACTTGATTCCTATTCCCATGAGGGAAGTATGCGTGATAGTAGGGATAGATTGGCTCAGTCGATTTGGTGCCATGATCGACTGTGAGGAACAGCAAGTGGTGGTTTGAACCCCAAGTGGGGGAGAACTGGTGGTATATGGCGAGGGCACAAGGATCGGATCAGGGTTTTGTTCGGCAGCCAGGGCTCGGCAGTATATTCAGCACGGGTGTGCCGGTTATTTAGCATATGTGGTGGATACGCGGGATAAAGGGCAACCCTCAGTCTCAGAGGTCCCGATGGTTAGGGAGTTTGTTGACGTGTTTCCGGAGGAGTTACCCGGAGTGCCTCCGGAGAGGCAGGTTGAGTTCAGGATTAATCTAGTGTCGGGTGTGGCCCTTATCGCCAAGGTGTCGTACCGTCTAGCACCACCTGAGATGCAGGAGCTGTTATCTCAGCTGCAGGATCTGTTGGGCATGAAGTTTATTCTTCCGAGTAGTTCACCCTAAGGAGCACCGATCCTTTTCGTCAGGAAGAAGGACGGTTCGCACAGACTATAGGGAGTTGAACAAGTTAACGCTGAAGAGCTGTTTTCCACTCCCAAGGATAGATGATATTTTCGATCAGCTGTAGGGTGCATCTTGTTTCTCCAAGATCGATTTGAGATCCGGATATCACCAGGTCAGGGTGAGGGAGGAAGATGTGGATAAGACCGCGTTCCGGACTCGTTATGGTCATTACAAGTTCATGGTGATGCCGTTTGAGCTCACCAACGCGCCGGCTATGTTCATGGATTTGATGAACTGAGTCTGCAGACCGATGCTCGATCGCTCGGTCATTGTGTTCATAGATGATATCTTGGTGTATTCCAAGACCCGAGAGCAGGACGAGGAGCATCTCAGGGAGCTGCTGAAGGTTCTACGGTGAGAACGGTTGTATGCTAGGTTCTCGAAGTGTGAGTTTTGGTTACGAGAGGTCCAGTTCCTCGGACATCTCATTAACCAGGAGGGGATTTTGGTCGATCCGGACAAGGTGGAGGCGGTTATGCATTGGGAGATTCTGAAATCTCCCTCAAAAATCAGGAGTTTCTTGGGTTTAGCAGGGTACTACCAGAGATTCATTCAAGATTTCTCCAAGATTGCAGTACCCCTCACTCATTTAACGAGGAAGGGGGTGGATTTCTGGTGGGGCCCTGAGCAGCAGAGGGCATTTGAGACCCTCTGACGGTGTTTATGCAAGGCGCGGGTGTTGACACCCCCCAAGGGAGTCGAGGATTTTGTAGTATTTTGTGATGCATCCATCTCGGGCTTGGGGGGCAGTCCTCATGCAGAGGGGACAAGTGATAGCTTATGCATCGCGGCAGCTGAAGCCGCATGAGACGAGATATCCTACGCACGAACTTGAGCTGGGAGCGGTGGTTTTCGCTCTCAATATTTGGAGGCATTATCTGTATGGAGTCCGTTGCACTATATATACGGATCACAAGAGTTTGAGACACATCATGGATCAGCCGAACCTGAACATGAGGCAGCGCAGGTGGCTGGATGTGGTCAAGGACTATGATTGTGAGATCCTTTACCATCCTGGTAAAGTGAATGTGGTTACGGATGCTTTGAGCCGCAAGTCAGTTGGGTCTTCTACCCCAACAAGGTGTATGAGGATAGCGGTGGATTCCTCGCTTGTGAGCTTGATTAAGGATGCTCAGGTTGAGGGTATGGGATCGGAAAACTGGAAGTTAGAGAGGATTAGGGGCGAGAGCGCCCGGTTTGTTCAGGATAGCCGCAGATTATTAACTCGATACAGTCATATTTGGGTTCCAATGTCCGGAGGGGTCCACTAGACAGTGATGGAAAAGGCTCATAAGTCTTACTTTTCCATTCACCTAGGGGCCACCAAGATGTACCGCGATTTGAGTTTGAGTTATTGGTGTCCTGGTATGAAGCAAGAAATCGCTTGGTATGTGGAGAGGTGCTTGACCTGTAGGATGGTTAAGGCCAAGCATCAGAGGCCGCATGGTAAGCTGCAGCCTCTGGAGATTCCCATATGGAAATGGGAGCAGATCACGATGGACTTCATGATGAAGTTGTCGAGGACGACGAAGGGGTTCGATGCTATATGGGTCATTGTGGATCGATTGACCAAGAGTGCCCATATCTTGGCCATACGGGAGAGTTTGTCGGCTGAGAACTTAGCCGACGTGTACGTCCGTGAGATTGTCTCTCATCATGGGGACCCAGTCTCCATTGTCTCCGATCGGGATGTCAGGTTTACTTCACGTTTCTGGCAGAAGTTCAAAAGGGTCTAAGGCACCAAGGTCGACCCTTTAGTTGTTATGGTTATGATATGATATATGTGATTATGATCTGATAGATCGGAATCAAGATAGACAGTGTGTTATGTTTTTATGATCCTTATGGATTGGTATGTTAGTGGCCTGCTGGGCATGTGCTCTAGTTATGAAAGATTGCTATGATTGATGATCCGTAAGATAGATATATTTGATGTCTGTATATGCCAGTATATGTTAGTTATGCGAACTTGATTATTTGCTTGTTGGTTAGGTTGAGGTTGTCCTGCTTTGTGCTGAAGGCCAACATACCCTATGAGCGGTCCGGGGAGACTGTAGGCCCACGTGGCGGTCCAGTCATGCTGAACGCTCGGTATAGATTCAGTTAGA